AAGGTGTAGAGATGATGGATGGATGGATTTCTTCCTAGCAACCCAGACATGGCTTTAGGGAAAATGACTGCACTGGATTGGGATTGAACATGTTGTGTTTTAGCTCAGCAGGAGGTGTTTTCAAGTGATGTTTGAGGCAAAGACAACCTATGATGGATCATTTATGAGCTCCAAAAGTCAACCTGAAGTCAGACAAAGTAGATGTGATGCAAAGCAGCAGCTCTATCTGCAGGATGGAGCCTCGTCTCTTCTCACTTCTGATGAGTCACCAGTAAAATCCTCCAGCTAATGACATAATCAGACCACAAGGTGATACGACTTCGTTTCGGCCCGTGTTCGCCGTCCGGCCCAATCTCACCGGTCGGTTCTGTTTCTTGTGAGCCACAGCTGGTTTTGGAGCAGCTCTGCGGTGGACCTAACAATGGGCTTCATGCTGCCTGATGCAGGGAGCTGCAGACAGGAAGCTGAAGTCACATCCTGGAATTGAGATAACCCACCACGACCTCACGTCACCGCTTCCTGTTTGTCCACAAGCATTTTTTTTGTTGTGCCCGCTACAGAATTGTTGTTTTTGACATTCTGAAGCACAAATAAGACAAATAAATCTGTTGTTTATTTGTTTATAACTCGACTGAGGTGGTAAATCACAAAGACTTCTAATGACGGGTGACGCTTAATCCAACTTTTATGTGTTTGTATGTTCTGCTGAAACGATTATCTGAGCCGTTATTATTAATAAATCCGCTAATTACGCAGCTCGTCATTCGCTCTGTTCAGATCCTGAAATGTAATGTTTGCGAGTTAAGCTCCGGTGGCTCGACGTGAGAACTCGTATTCATGTTTGACATCCTGTGCTTTAAAATAATCCGTATTAAGTGATTAAATGGATCAGCTGGAGTCGTTTCCTTCAAGCATAACGTGGCCACTGGAACAATCAGATTCCTGATGTGAGGACTGAACGAATCCCACAATTAATATGAACACAAAGCAGAGTTATCCTGTGTATGGTGACGATACTGAAGATGTTGTTGCCAGAACATCCTAAAGAAACGAAGGATCATCGGCTCATTTATGGCATTTGTGGCACAATAATTCCTCCACCATCAGTGCTTGTAGTGATTACTCATAACAGACACACCGGATGTCCCTGTTTGTAGGTCGTATCTATGACAGAAGGTGCTTTCCTTTTATTTAGAAGTACAGGTTCATTACCCGGCATGCCGTCAGAGGTATTTTCTTCAGAACTGTGCTGGTCAGATCCTGCATGAGGGAATCAGTCACTTCCTCCTCCTCGGTGCAGTCAGTGGGAGGTGGTGCTAAAAGGCAGCGAGGACGCAGTCGAGCCAGAAGCACACGATCGTGTTCGGATTTGTCCGTGTTCCAGTGAAAGTTAAACAAGTCGAGTCCGTCTCTCTTCCACTTTCACTGTCGTTGGACTCAGTCAGGAGGCAAAAGATTGAAATCTTAGAACAATCTGAGCCTAAAAACCCACCAGCNCCATACAAATAGCTGCCGTGTCAACAAGTGGTTCTGCTCTGACTTCAGAGGCCAAATCTTACACCATCAAGACTGCCATTATTATTATTATTATTATTATTATTAATAATAATAATAATAATATTAATAATAATAATAATAATAATAATAATACAGAATAAAGAATAAAGAATAAAGAATTATTATAAGAATTACGAATGAAAGCACTAAGAAACCTGACGAATTAGAATAGGCTTAATGGTATAATTTATTGTTGTTGTTGTTGTTCTTTTTGTTATTGGTAATAATAACAATAATAATAATAAATAATAATGATAATCCTAAAACATTTTTTTTATTCTTTTACACATTAAAAATTTAAAATAAAAACATGGAACAACGTCACCAACATTATAATACAAAAATATTATTAGCAATATCATCATCACTGTCATTATTACTTAAAATGGTTAAAATTGCACATAAAAGATGGAATAGTGCTGATAATCCAGGATTTCGTACAAAAAAGTTTTGTTTTTTTAAAATATTAAAAACTAAGCATTAAAAATAGATACTAGTTAACAAATTAATTTAGCACTAGAATAAAAAAAAAAGAAACTCCAGCATTATTATTTTTGATGAAGTTTTTCTTTGTTGTTTGACTGTTTTAAATTTATTTTTGACTCATTTATTTAAATATATAGATACAGAAATACAAAAGCCAGTTTTTTAAATGACAGATTTAATCTCAGAGATTCTTTTTATCAATTTATTTTATTATTTAGTCCTATTTTATTCTTTATTTATTTGTCAGCACCCTTTCAGTTTGAGGCGAGCAGACTTTTACGCTGCCAGCTCCAACCGGAAATTCCGGCGCTCGGTGGCCTCTGACTTGACGCCGCAGTGCGCTACAGGTTGGACACGTTGTGGTCGGATCAGATTGTGTTTTACCTGCCTGGCTGGGAGCAGGCGGAGCTCACCTGGGGGACGAGGCGCGCGCTTCGATCGGCCAACAAAACGTCCGGCCGGCGTCCAACTTTTCTTTTTCTTTTTTTCTTTCTTCACCTTGTGAGATATTAATGCAAAGACTTGAGGCTGACTTTGGATAAATAATTAACGTGACATGAGGAGCTGAGCCGAGCGGCGGAGCGCGCCTCCACCGCCCAACTCTGACAGGAACAAAACACGACCCGCAGCGGGCCCACAGGTGTGTTTGGTCCTGTGTGTTTTTCATGTCATTTGAAGAGGACCCACTCGGCTGTGATCATGCTGGGAGCGGAGAGCAGGCTGGAGGTCCGGCTGAAGAAGCTGGAGGCGCTGATGAGGAATCCGCAGTCGGCGCTGAACCTGGAAACTCTGCTGGTGAGTCTGAGCTTCCCCCTGAGGGTCTGATCAGGTGCGAGGGAGCATAGTTGGGAGTAATTATTCAGTCACGATCGCATGAGAAGACACGTCCCGGACCACAGCTGGAGTAAACAAACGGAGAGGGAACGGTTTTTATTGACCTCTGTTGACTCTATTGATCCCTCAACAGGGCATTTCAAAGTCTACAGAGAAAATACTGACTGTTATTATGCTTTTTACAACATGTGAGATATCTGAGCTCTTAGTCATTCACCGAAGCTTATCATCTGGCTTTTACTTTGAGTTTCAATCACAGATGTAGCAGAGGGAAGCCCCACCTACAGTCAAGCCTTCTGTGTGCACTTTAATTAAATAGACATATATGAATTATAATGATGGTAAAATGTCAACACCAGCCTTCATATTGACATTAGTCCAGTTAGGCTCCAAACATAAGCCTTCACATTTATTCTACTGGTACTTTCTATAAGTTTAGTGGTAGATTTAAACCTTAATATTTCTATTATTAAGCTAAATACATAAATAGTGTTCTAACCTCAACATTTAGCTTCTCTCTCTCCTGGAGAAGACTCGACTTGTTGCTTTAAATGTGCCATGACTCGACTAAACTCCTCCCTGAAACCCACCCAGCCAGGAGGAGCGTTTAACTCGTCTCCACTCCATCACTGTCTGTTTGCGATTACCTGTTGAACCTCCTGCTGCTGCTCCTCCAATCGACGTGTCCTCCCTCTGACCTGCACTGAGAATGCGTCCGGCCTGACCCCGCCGAGCCCCTCAGCTCCATCAGGCCACGTTTTCTAACCGCCTCAACGGGATCTCGCACCAGTTTGTAGTTTCTGCATCACTTTCCTTACCTATTATAGGACGGGGTTTCTTCCTACGGCTTCCTCCCACAGTCCAGAAACATGCTGAGGTTAATTGGTGATTGTAAATTGTCCGTAGGTGTGAATGTGAGTGTGCTTGGTTGTCTGGT